CTCTCTCTCTCTCTCTCTCTCTCTCTCTCTCTCTCTCTCTCTCTCTCTCTCTCTCTCTCTCTCTCTCTCTCTCTCTCTCTGTGTGTGTGTGCCTGTGTGTGCCTGTGTGTGCGGGTGCGTGTGCAGGCGCACATTGCTCTCTGTTTGAACGTTAGCTACAGACGACCCTGCCAGCTGCACTGAGCGGTATAGAGAGCTAGATACGCAGCAGTAACAATGGAAAAAAAGAGGGATAAAGAGAATGGAAGGAGAATAGAGAGCGAAGAGCGAAAGATACAGACTTCTCAAAGGTACCTGGAAGAGGAAGAGATTGGATTGGTTGTTTTAAGCACAAGTGCTGACCAAGAACCTCTTGAGAGTCCTGTCGGCCGCAGCAATGGGTGCCAAGAAGAGCGAGTTAGAGTATGTGTAAGACGGGGGAAACAAGAGAGAGAGAGAGAGAGAAAGAGAGAGAGAGAGAGAGAATTAGAAAAAGATAGCCAATAACAAGCTGGAACCGGCGGGCGCACCCGCTCATGATCGCGCAGCCAAGGGGCATGGGGAACACAACACAGCCTGACGTTCCAGAGGGTAATGAGACGATGACAAGGTAGAGGAAGGGGGAGAAGCTGGGAGAGGGAGGGTGTAAGGGGGAGAAGAAAGGAGAGGAGGTAGCAAGAACGGAATGCGAAGGAGAAGGAGGGCAAGACGACCAAGAAGAGAGCGAAGCAATCGCATAAGCACGGGAACAGACAAGATCGAACAAGCGGAGGCAGAAGAGAGAAAGTACCAGCCAGGCGAAAAGGAGGAGCGGCCAGGAGAGATAGTGGGGGGAGGGGGAAGGGGAAAGGGGAAGGGATAGAAACGCGATGTGGAGACGATAGGAGAACACAGGCAGAGAGACCTGGCAAACTTAGGGAGAGGATAACCGCCAACCTTCGGCCGTACCAGACTGTGCACACACGCGCCCGAGGGGAGAAATGGGTGACACGTGGCATTGTTTAAACGATAGAAGGCCCCGAAAAAGTCAACAAGAAAGTAATTGCCATCAACAGAAAGATGGAAAGCACAGGACATCGATTGGAATTCATCAACTAGAGACCCCCAAACAAACGACCGGCTCAACGCGACATCGTGTGACAAAGCCACATCCCTGACACGATGGCTGGCTGTGCCAGGTGGGGTGGCTTCCACGTGTGACAAAGCCGGCTTACTTCCTCTTAGCGATGACAAGAACGAAGCAAAGAAATAACAAGCAAACCACAAGAAGAGAGAGAGAGAGGAGGGGGACAATGAAGAGAGAGAGAGAGGGAGTGAGAGAGAGAGAAGGGAGGGGGACAGAAGAGTGGGTGGCAAGGAAGAGGAGGAGCACGGAGCGAAGGTTTTACCCTACCTCCCAGCGCTTGTGGGAAAACAGACGAAAAGAGATTAAGGAGAGGGGAGGAAGATGGGACATACCAAGAGATCATGCCACGTGGACTGCGAGAGCTGAGGTGAAGCTGAGCTGGGGGCAAACAGAGCACATCGGAGAGGCTGAGCGTGAAGGAACATTCACTGAAAAGATGGAATGGGTTCGTTTGTGATGGGCAGTAAGGGAGCAATGAGTACAAGTATTACAGGTGGCCTGCCACATGTGCAAGTTTCACATGGCAGGTGAAGACGTTGAGCAGGAGGACAAGCAGGAGCTCGGGACGTACGGAGAGAGAGAAGAGAGAGAGAGAGAGAGAGAGGATAGAGAAACTTACCTTCGATGGCGTGTCTGGACTCATGTAGGAGAACAAGAAACTCTTCTCCCCCTCCCCTAGCGTGCCCACCACCGCTCCATTCGCGTCCTCCACCTGTTTCGCTTCCACCTGTCATCATCACAAAAACCAGCACCACCGCCAATGCCAAGTCATCAACGTTTTCTTCGCGATGAAGATTGATAAATAGATCATTCTCTCTCTCTCTCTCTCTCTCTCTCTCTCTCTCTCTCTCTCTCTCTCTCTCTCTCTCTCTCTCTCTCTCTTAGATAAGCATAAATGTAGATAGCTAAATAGATTAGAGAGACAGCGAAAGGAGAGAGAGAGAGGGACAGAAGGAGACAAAGAGGAAGAAAGAGAAAGAGGAGGAAAGAGTCGGACAGAGAGAGGGCGAAAACTAATAAGCTAGGCAGATGGATAAGATTGATAGGTAGGTAGGTAGGTAGGTAGGTGGGTAGGGTAGGTGGGTAGGTGAGTAGGTGGGTCGGTGGGTAGGTGGGTAGGTGGGTAGGCAACACAGATAGAGAGATCGAGAGGAAAGTAAACGGATAGAGACAGTGAAACCGACGCAGAGAGGTCTTCACGCGTGCTTAAGTCAGTGTGAAAAGGAGGTAAAGAACAAAGAGGAGACGAGGAGGAGGAGGAGAAGGAGGAGGAGGAGGAGGAGGAGGACGAAGAGGAGGAGTCTGATTAAGGAAGACGAGATATGGTCGGAGGAGGCAAATTAACAAGGACAGATCGAAAGAAAATTGGACACGTAGTTAGCCAAATTGCGTACGTACCCTCCCAAACCAAAAGAAAAGGGAAAGTTCAGAGAAAGCACGTACTGTCCAGCCTAGCATTTGTAGTTTCTCGATGACACTTCTCTCTTCTGGCTGTAAGGACGCCATCGCGAGATCCAGAACTTTCACCGAACTTTCCGGCAAATAGGCCTCCGTCAAGGTCGACGTTGATTCCGCAGCGCCTCTTCTATCTTCCCCCCCCCTCCTCTCTATTCCACCCTCACCCTCATTATGTCCCCTAGGCGATCCCCGCGCTTCATCACTCTCCATCCCCACCAACCCTTCTCCTCCTCCCCCCATTCCTCTCCCCCGCCCCTTCTCTAATTGCCCCGAAGAAGAGAACACGCGGCTCTCGACGACCGTACTCGCGCCCGATTCTTCCGCGTCCCGTCTCTCCTTCCTCCCCCCGTCCGCATCAGCTTCCCGGTCCCGACCCACCATCTTCGCCTCCTCTATTCTCGACCACAACCCTTCGTCCATCGTCGCCACGTGTCCACGCACACCATGCTCCTCTTCCTGTCTCTTATACACATCTAGATGTGTATAAGAGACAGGCCTGAGGCCCATATCGGGTAAAGGCCCTTTTAACAGAGACAAGCACGCCGCAGCACAGCTACCTACAACAGCGGAATTTTATTTATGGTTTT